ACCCTTTCACAGGGGTCACCTAAGACCATCAGAAAACACAGATATTGACATTGCAAGTCATAACACTAGTAAAATTACAGTTAGGAAGGAACAGTGAAAAGAATTGTATGGTTGGGGGTCACCACAACATGGGGAACTGTATTAAAGGGTCGCAGCATTAGGAAGGTTGAGAACCGCTGCTTTAGAAGAAGAATGCCTGTTCTTTCTTAGACTTCAGAAAAGGTAGAAATGGAAGAGGAATAGACAGAGGGGGCAAGTGACTCACAACCCAGGCTACAAGGTGTACATTTAGTATTTCAGGAACCCCTGTAGGTGGCAGCTGGGGGCAAGTTCCAAAGGAAACCCTGCCTAAATGAAAACACATGCCGTCCTTAGGGAACGATTTGAGACAGTGGTGATGAGGACATCAGTGATAATGTGGGTGTCTGTTTAGTGTGACATCTGCTTCTGAGCTGTGACGTCCTTTACCTTCACTGTCTTCATTGTCAGCAGCCCACGGTCCTGTCACACTGTTGCCCAAGAACAGAAACTGCCTTGAAGACAGCCAGAGAGGGCTGCAAAGTACCTCAGTAGTGGAGTTCTGGGATGCAAGAGACCGTTGATTCCATCTGTACTGGAAGGGGGAGAAGAGAAGGAAGATAAAACTGCTGTCCCGCCTTCATTTCTGTTGCTGTGGTGAAAAACACTAACCAGAAGTGACTTAGGGGGTCACAGGGGTTATTTCAGGTTCCAACTCCAGATCACAGACCATCACTGAGGGAAGTCAAGGCAGGCCCGCTTCCTATCCCACACTGCATTACCTTTTACCAAGTGTTTGAATGTAATTGGCCCCGATAAGCTCATATGAAGTGGCACTGTTAGGAGGTGTGGCTTCGTTGGAGTAGGTGTGGCCTTGTTGGAGGAAGTGTGTCACTGTGGGGGCAGGCTTTGAGGTCTCATATACGCTCAAGCCGGGCCCAGTGTCTCAGACCACTTCTTTTTTTGTTTGTTTGTTTGTTTGTTTGTTTGTTTGTTTTTTCGAGACAGGGTTTCTCTGTGTAGTTTTGCGCCTTTCCTGGAACTCACTTGGTAGCCCAGGCTGGCCTCGAACTCACAGAGATCCGCCGGCCTCTGCCTCCCGAGTGCTGGGATTAAAGGCGTGCGCCACCACCGCCCGGCATCAGACCACTTCTATTGCCTGCGAGTCAAGATGTAGGACTCTCAGCTACTTCGCCAGCACCATGTCTGCCTACAAGCCACCACATTGCACCACGGTGATAATGGACTAAACCTCTGAAAATGCAGGCCACCCCAAATAAATGTTTTTCGTTTATAAGAGTTGCCATGGCCATGGTGTTTCTTCATAGCATAGAAACCCTGACTAAGACAGAAGTTGGTACTGGGTGTGGGGTGTTGCTGTGATAGGCCTGACCATGCTCTTGTTTGAAGGAATATGGACCTTGAGACTGTGGATTAGAAAAGCAGTTGAACAAGTGCTGCTTAATGGGACATTCTAGTAGGAACATGGAAGACAATGGTGTGATTTAAACTGTAGGGGCCGGGCTCAAGAGGTTTCAGAGGAGAAGAATTTTAGTACGTTGCCTAGAGATCATTCTTGTGATATTTTGGTGAAGAATGTGGCTGCTTTTTGCCTTTGTCCAAACAGTCTGTCTGGGGCTAAATTGAAGAGTTTTGGATTAATTCCACTGGCAGCCTAGTATAGACTCTGTCATGTGGTTATTAGTGTTAACTCAAGATTTATAATGAAAAGGAGCACCAGGAAGTGGAATGGAGCTAAGTCCTGTGTTCAAGGTGATAAAAAGATTAAGAAATGGAATAAAGGGAATGGTGACCTCAGGACAAGATCCCACCCAGCTAAATTTCCAACTTGTGAAAAGGAATTGAAGAAAAGCTTAAAGCATGGTGTGGTGATACACACCTTTTTAATCCCAGCACTCAGAAGGCAGAGACTGGCAGACCTGAGTTTGAGGCCAGCCTGGTCTACAGATCCAGTTTCAGGACAGCCAAGCTTAGGCAGTGAAAGAAACCATTTGAAAGTAAAAGTTGGTGAAGATGTAATTGAACTAGGGGGCCTTGTTCCAGGCCCAGCAAGCAGCAGAACTTGGCTTCTTCAGCCACATGGTTCTGGCTTTGGAGTCAAGGATATAAGAAAGGCATTTTGGAATCTCCCTCTACAGCTAAGAAAGCCACTGAGGCCAAGCATGTGTCTCTGAATAGAGGCCTAGAGAGAAGCCATTGCATGAACCTGGGAAGGTGAAGCCTGGATTTCCTTGGAGACCCCAAGATGTTGGAGATACCAGAGCCATGGGATACATGCTGAGGAAAGCTGCTAACAGGCTAAGACAAAGAAGTGTGTTGCAGTCAACGAAGCTGAAAGGAGTTGAATCTAGGCAATTCCTTAACTCAAGCTCTTCTCTCAGATGATTCTAGGCTGTATCATGTTGATAGTTAAAGCTAACAAGAACAGCTTCCTTCCTGTGTTCTTAGGTAAATATCCCTGCCATGCATTCACTCCTAGGAGAGCAGCAAGTGCAAAAGAACACAACCACCCTGGCTGGCCATGTTCGGAGTGGGCTGCCCAGAAGTTGTAATGTATTTTCCCAAGGAAATGATGTTAGCACAACACAAACATGTTTACCCATAGTGTGCCAAAACCAGTCATGACAGACCTAAACCATTTTGGATACTAGTGTTTCCATGGAAAATTTCACTCAGATTTTTCCCCTTAAATTGCTGTGGACACATTTCTCCATCAAAGAGGAGTACTCTTTGATCCCTGTGGATGACACCGTAGACTCGTAAGTCCAACTCCCAGCCTGTAGTGCATGTAGACGGACGATGGGAGGGTGAATGGAATTGAACACAGGGCCCTGGAGACCTTGGAAGAGGAACAGAATAAAGTCTTTTAAAGGGGAAAGAGAGTTGGGAGTTCCAGAGAGGCTAAAAGAAGGTTAAGAGATTTGAGGGACCCAGAACTCACTGATCTAAGCCTCCGGGATCTTCTCACTGTCTGTTTCTTCTAGGGACACAATGAGTCTGCCCTGTCTCCCCTTTTACTGTTCACATACAGACTTTAATGAAACTGAGTTCAACCCCATGCTGCTCCCTACTCAGCTGATCTTAAAGCAAGCACATTAGCTTTAATGTTTGTTTGTTTGTTTCTGTAAAGGAAATGGACGTGCTAACCCCCACCCACTCCCAGTACTTCTTTCTCAACTGGAATTACACTCACTCCTTATCTGGTCCCCAAAGGTTCCCAGATAAAGTGGCAATTTGGGGCAATTCCACGGAGTGTGTCTGATAGTCAAAGGGGTTTATTTTGAGTTAACTTAACAAGGAGCAAAGGGGAATTGGTCGTGGGATCCAGGAAAGGTGAGGCGCAGTCCCACACGGTTCTCTGGAGAACTCTGCCTTGGTCCACGGTACCACCATCCAGGATCACGAGGTAGTCAAGAGAGCAAGCACGTGCACATTTCAGTTCTTAAGGGGTCCCCCCTTGGCCATGGGGGGGGGCACAGCGCACAGGTACCTAGCAGTTACCTGCTGCCTACTGGGGGCGGTGCTTCATGGGTAAAGCAGAGACAACCACCCCTACAGTATAAGCCTGCTTCTGGCTCAGAATTACTGACCAAATTTATTTCTTCATAAAACTGTCTTTCCTCCTCTCCACTCTGAGCCAACACCTATTTCTTAGAATGTCATGACAACTAAAATGGGGTTTCCTCAGAGAGGTCAACCTTGCCCTTGCCCTTCCCCGGGGAACTCAGGCTCCCTGCTCCCTCTCCAGTCAGTTCTGCGGGCTCCTTTTATACGTCTTCTGTGTTTACCTTCACGTCTGCTGTACCGCCCATCATGAAACACAGCACGTGCTGATTATTTTTATGTGAACCAGTGAGTAGGATAGCCACGTTGGGGCAGGGCTTCCAAGGACTGTTGGGTAAATACTCAGCAGTACAAAACCAAAGAAATGAGCAAATAATACAGCCGTAGCCTCCCAGCTAGAACTTTTATAAACCAACTAAAATCAAGGCAGATGGACCCAGTAAGCAAACGTGTTTGTAGGCACAATGGGTCAAAATTCTTCCAAAACCAGGTGTTAAATATCTGCTATAAGCAAAATGCCTCAAGTGAACCAGGCTGTTAATAGTTTCTGTCTTCACGGAGCTTTTGTTAGTCAAGATGACAAATAGAATGCATCCATCTACATAAATTGGTAATTATAACTTTGAAACGTATCATTTTGATGAATGCAATGAAAAGTTCCACAGGTATAAGAGCCTTTAACAGGGAGATTTGATGGGACCAACATGCCAGAATAGCATTTCTGAGACTTGCCGGAAACCTGTGTACCAAGAACCATCATGCTCCGCCTCCACAGCTGGCCTGAGAGGAGGTGCCTGCCATAGGGTGCCTCAGCCCAATATGGGCCATTTTGCACTTGGTAATTCTTGGGGAGCCTGTGTGCTGCAGAATGAACGCTTAAGTAGCATTCCTGGTCTTTACTTGCGAGGAAACCCAATGTATGATAGGCACCGATGTCTTAGCCTTGTTCCATGTCCAAGGCCAGAGAAGGATGATGGTGACCAAATCTGTCCCTCCTCCCTTCCCCAACTAAGAGCCACTGCTCTACATGAAATGTGGTCTTTACAAAACATGATTTATCCAAGTCAGAACCGCGAACTAAGTATGCACTCGCTAAATAACTACTTCTTGAGCGGTGAGACACCCCAGGGAGAAGAGAACCATGCAGTGGGGAATAGATGAAAGGTCACAGATCCATAATGTTCTGGGAGACGGATATGTCTATTGGTGAAAGAAGTCATCTGTGGGAACATGGTATTTTAACAAAGGCTCAAAAGAAGCAGGGGAGTGTGCGGTGCGCCATAAGGAGAAACACCAAGACCAAGGAGGAGGCCATTGGAGGGCCGTCTGTCCTTGGCCTCGCCTTTCCGTCAGCGCCTTTGTGTCTGCAGGTCTCACCAGGCTCCTTTGTGTTTCAGAGGGTTCTCCGCAGAAGGGCAGCTGAACGGACTTCAGAACAGCCTTAGCCCTGCAGCCTTTATGCCCATCGCCAGCTCCACAGGTCAGTGGCCTGCTCTTCTCTGGGTGGGGCAGCAAGGAAGGTGGCATCTGGCCCTTCTCTCCTTTGCCTCTGTCAAGAGCGTCAGCTCAGAGGGACAAATGTCCAGGCTTTGAAAGCATTGGCAGATACATATTTTGATGATATTTTTCCTTTAGAATAATACGACAGCCTGGGATAGGTGGGGTTTTGCTTTGCTTTGTTTCGTTTCAGAACTGATGGGGTAAATGCAACATCCTTGTCTAGTAGAATACTCTGAGTTTTAATGTACACTCCCTGTGTTTGACTGGCACTCCACTAGTCACTTAGTATTTCTCCATGGTGGATCTCTTGGCCCTCACAACAGCTTCATGAGCTCCATCTCCTACCTCCCCTGACACGAGGAAACTAAGACTCAGCATATTAGCTGTACATACATCCATAGTTAGGTGTCTGGACTTTGAGGTGAGTCTCGTTGTGTTGATGCCAAAGGTCTGTGGACAGGGCCCATAGCCTCTCATTGTAAGGGCATGTGTGCAGGTGAGGTAGCAGTGAGCCGGGTGGGGGGCGTGGGGGGGGGGTTCTGCGTAATAATTCATAAGCACACACTAATCAGAAAACTGAAAGAAGGTAACTTTGATTTAAGTCGATAAACATTGACCACTGAGCACGTACTCTGGAGTAGCATTTGGCCCCTGAGTTCCACACAGTACAGAACAAACAGAATGGTCTCCACTCTGGGGTGCTGAAAAACTCAAGGAGATAGAAGGGCATGGGGAGTGGCTACAGGAGATTCTGTGGCGGGTTCTGTACTGGGGACATGGGAAACGACAACAGACAACATTGACTAGGCCTTCACTGTATGTCAGGCTATGTGTTGCGTGCTTTGTAGCAAGCCCATTGTCAAGTGTACACAGATAAGAACTGAGAGCCCCTGTCTTATTTATGTGTAGAGGAGTCAACAAGGTTGTGAAGTACATCTGAAGTGTCATGGAGTACTTACAATGAGTGCAAAGATCCTGTGCCATGCGCACGCATGTACCTTTTCTGCAAACTCATTTGTTAGTATGGCTGGGGAAAGGGTATGTGCAAAAGATGGCAAGAGGAAAGTGGTGGAGCATCAGGGCCAGTCGTAAGCTGTAGAGGGAACTTGTCATCATCCTGACAGCTGCAAGAAGCCCTGGAGGAGTTCAGGAAGAGTACAGGGGATATGATAAGGAGTGACAGTGGCCCTGAAAGTCGTAGCAGATGCTTGACTGTATCATGAGGACAGTTAACATATCTCACTGCTTTGTTTGGAGGATTAAATGAAGCAGTGTGTACAGAAGGACTCTTCCTACATCTGGGTTATTGAGCCATATTAACATTCTAATAAAAGCATAAAATCAGTTCTCCTGCACAACATCAGAGCCTGAATTCAGGAGATATTTGATGGCCTGTGCTTGTGACCCTCCCCGTGAAGACTAGAGCATGGTGGTGGTTGCTGTTTCATGCTGGGCACTGCACCACACCTCACCACCTCACGTGTGCTGGGTGCTCTGCCACCGAGAACACCCCAGCTCTCAGAGCATGGCAGCTCTGGTTAAGAAAGTAAAACTTGCACTGGAACTGTGATGGAGAGAAGTGGTGACTGAGAATCGCGGGCAGGTTTGAAGTCACTCTGGGTCACGGTGCCTAGAGCCCTTCCCTCATGCTTTAAGCTGGAGAAGTTTGCAAGACCCAGGAGCCCCGACTACCTCCCGTGCATTCCTAATTGAACCATATGGAGTTGAACTCTGTGTGCTCTCTGGTTGAAGGAATTAGAGCTGTGAAGGATCAGCTGGGTCATGATTGCAGCAGCTTGGTGGCCCCTAATGACATCAGTTAGATCTTGTCGCAGTCGTACTGTATTTGTGTCGGCATAAAGGACAGATCAAGCAGTTATATTCGCCATCAACTGTTGTTGTTTTTGTTCTTTTGGGGGACCCACCACCCAGCTCCCAAATAAATCACACATGGAGGCTTATTCTTACTTCTGAATGCCCGGCCTTAGCTTGGCTTGTTTCTTGCCAGCTTTCCTTAACTTAAATTATCCCATCTATCTTTTGCCTAGGGCTTTTCCTTTTTTCTAACTTCTGTATCTTACTCTTACTCTGTGGCTTGCTGTGTAGCTGGGTGGCTGACCCCTGGAGTCCTCCTCCTCCTCTGGCTCCTAGATCCCTCCTCCCAGTTTTCTCCTTCTATGTATTCTCTCTGCCTGCCAGCCCCACCTATCCTTCTCCTGCCTCACTATAGGCCATTCAGTTCTTTATTAGACCATCAGGTGTTTTCGACAGGCACAGTAACACAGCTTCACAGAGTTAAACAAAAGTAACACACCTTAAAATCATATTCTACAGCAGTCAACCATTGTCCCTGCTTTCCCCTTGAGGTAACAGCCAGGTGATTATTCCTGCCATCATTCCTGTTCACTCACCAGATATTTAGTGCTTTGTCACCCTGTGACTCGAGGCCTCTACATGTTGTTGGATTTATTGTCTGTGACTTTCCTGATGCTAACGAAATGCTGGAGTGCAGGAACCCGTAAGGGCTGACACTTGGTGAATTCCCAGCACACGTGGCATTGGTAACTGCCCTGCATGGCAGTGTTTCAGCAATGCAGCTTGGGATTTCCACAGCAGTTAGATTTCAAAGCTGTTCTAGAGTTTCAGAGGGGTGTTCTGTGCGAAGGAGACAGGGCTGCCACTAGCAGCAGTTTCCTTTAAGCCCAGAAGAAGGGGGTGGGGGAGAGAAGGACGGAGACAGAAAAAGAGAGCACAACAGTGCCATATTACTCTCCTCAGCTGTCCTCCAAATACCTTTAGCCCCTCTCTTGTACAGTAACAGGTCCATAAATATAGCTCATGTCTGTTTCCTGCCCTTTAACCCTTCGCTTTCATCTGGCTGGCTCTACTCTAAGATGTGTGACTTTGCAGGTAGCTCCGAGCTGTAAAACAGCCCAGTCCTTTACTTCTGATGGCAGGCTCATTGCATTCTTTCTATTATGCATATTCAGTAAAAAAAAAAAAAAAATGCACCTCTGCTAGCAGAGGGCCTGGAAGGAATGCTGCCTGAATGTTAGCGTCCTTACCTTCCCTACCAGGCCTTGCATCCCAAGTTTGCAATGAAAGGAAGGGGAGAGTCAGCAGACTTGGAAACTGGAGAAGGAAGCTGGAGCGAGGGCCCTTGGCCCCAAGCCAAACTCATTGGCTCTCCTTTGCAACCATGGCGCTCCTTCTTGAGCTCTGGAGTGCTAAAGTGAACTAAAACAGCTAAGAAGGCAGATTAGATACTGTAGGGATCTGCAGCAGTACCCACTGCCCTGGCCCAGCCCACTCCTTACCTTCTGTAAAGCACCCTACCTGGAAGACAGCCTCTTGCCTCACACCCGTATTCTTAAGCTCCTGTTAGTCTGTAGTTGTGGATGGGACCTTGCTCTCTTGAAAATCAGTGATGGATGTCATTTCAAGAAGAAAGCAGCAAAGTCCTGTTAAATGCTTATTGTCTCCAACCCTGGTAAAATGTGCAGTGGCTCCCTGACCTTCTCATGGGGACATCACAGAAACACCTCAGTATGACAGTGCCCGTCCACTCCCCTGGTGTCTTGAGACAAGAAAAATGAACTTACTTTAATGTAAATCCAGAGGGGCTTACACTCTCAGGACCTAGAAATCATTTTACCTTCCAAGTGACTTGTTTGCCTGGCAGCTGCCAGTAAAATGACCTGTTTTCGTGGTCAGATTATTCATCCTACATTCTGTAGTTAGTGGAGCTCCTCGGGGGTCTGAACATAGTGAAGAATAAGATGAGCAGCACTCCCAGGGTGATGGCCCTGGTGTCTGATGGCCTCTTCTTTTCCTTCCATTTCCCCCTAATGGGGCTTTAACTTCTACACCCATTGCTAAAACTCCCCGAGCATTCCTCTGTGCAGGGATGGAGGGTAAGATTTTGAGGTGATGCCTACTCCTGTGCTGTTGGGAAGCAGAAGAGAGACAAGGAATTGGTGTTTGGCAGGAGGCGGGATGGCAACACCTGAGAACAATGGTTCTCTTAGCCTAGTTTGGGATTTTACCTCTTGTCCTTTGGGCCAAGATCAAATACAGTGTTAAGTGGGGATTTTTTTTCTTCATTTTTCCAGGATCTTTGGAAGCTCCCCAAGTTATTTTCGCCAGATCCAAACCCTTACCCACACAGTCTGGAGCCTTTGCTACAGTTATAGGACAGAGAAAATCAAAGTCGGTGAAGTCAGGGGCAATTTAAGGTAATAGTAAGAATAAGAGCGTATTTTTGTCGTCATCACTTCCTGACTTCGTGCCACAGCCAGGGACTCAGTAGCTATGAAGAAAGCAATGCAGTTCAGGGTCTGGGAACACAGCTCACCGGTACAACACAGGCTTAGCATGCACGAAGCCGTGGGTCAGATCCCCACTACCAACAAAGAACCAAAGGCACTCAAGTTGAGACTTTATGAAAACAGCACCTAAGGACCACTTCAAACCGGGGTCCAAGTTAAGCTGTGCTTAGCTGGCTTCTGTACTGCACTGGCCCCCCAGAAGGTGGCGCTGTGGCAGTAAGAACTTTCTCTGCTGTTGTTAGAAGTTTTTGTTTAAAAATGCAGGGTCTTTGAGACCAGTCAAAAGCATTAAAGCCGTAACCAAGGTTCACAGGTAAAGTATAACGGGATATGGGAAAGGCGACACTGTTAAGACCCAATCACGATAGACTCAACAGAGAACAGGTATTCATTATCAGGAAGGCTTTTAGACTAGGAGGTAGTTCGTGGACTTTGAGATAATGAGGTGGAAAGGGAACAAAAATATTTTGTAAAGGCTTTGGTGACGTTCATAATTGTGGTGGTTACAAGTTTTAAATAAGCACACACCCGTTAATTGGCAGGAAAACAAGCTCGATCCCATCCTGCACCACCTGTGGTAGCCTGTGCAATTAAGGAGTTGCCAGACTTGGTCTTGTGAAGCTGTGGCCTCACCTCACTAATGCTCCTTGGGGTTGTGTTCCAGCTGTAGCCTTCAGAACTCACCAGAAAATTCTCTGAAACCCCAAGACTGTAATTATTCCTTTCTTCTTTGCTCAGTCCCACATACTCAGCATTAATGGCACACCTCCTATGAGCTTAATATTCTCCTTTCCTCTGGGGGAATATTTATAAACTTCTTTGAGAAGCATTATTCATTAAAATGCCCCAGCAGAGCAAAGGAGAAGGGAAAGACATTTACCCACCACGGGCTTCATTTACATTGGATCAGAAAGCTTCAGATATCTTTCCCAACCCATTTAAACTCTCTCCAGAACGGAATGAGGATAGAGACAGGAACACCAAATCCAAGACTTGGTCATCTACCAAAACGTACCGGAGAAACCAAAAACACCCGGAATTGTGGTGCTGCTCGGCCAATCGCACTTGAACCCTGACACAAAGCAGCCAGTTCCGTGATGAACAGCTTGTAAAGTATAGAAAACTTCAAGGAGGAGATCAAGATGTCCTTCGGTAGACTGGCATCCAGGAGGGTGAATGTGACAGCCAGCTCCAAACCAAACTGACGGCCTGCCAAGGAGCACTGGCATCTCTGTTTCCAGGTCTGTGAGGCTTGGACCTGCCATGGCGTGTCGCTTTCCTCGAGCCTGTCTCCTGGTGTCCCCTGGTCCTCTCTGATCAGTGCTTGCCCGTGTAGGCTTATCAGCAGTGCGGCCTTGAGAAGGTTCATCTCCTCACCTGGAATTCTGTACAAACACGGTCCTGCTAAACTTGAGTTCACCGTCTTCTGGAGACAGTATGCCAAGGGTGCATGGACGTGGGCCCAGAGTCAGTCACGGTCTCAGAAACCAGCCTTCTGTGAGCAGTATGGCTCCAGCGAAGCATCACCAAGCAGACCCACCAGCCTGTGTCTGCCGAAATTCTTAATCCGGTTCATCCCGCCCATCTGCAGTGGGTTCCTTCCTTGAACAGAGAAGTAGTTTACATGGCGAGGGGGCAGAAGAGTCTCAGAGGCCACAGCCCATTCCAGCAGCGATCCGTGAGATGGTGGCCAGCGAGGAGGTCTCTGCACCCACAGTTCCTGCTGAGCGGCCTCGGCGCCTGTGACAGTCCCAGAAGCCTTCCTTCTGTGGGTTGCAGAGGCAGACGCGCTGGACTGAGAGACGTATGTTTGCAAAACATGTTGTACAATGCTGAGGAAGTTCCTGGGGTCCTCTTCAAGGTAACTGTGCTGAGGGCATCAGAGAGGAAAGCACATCTAAGACCCCTCTGTCCCACCCTAGGCAAGTGTTACATGCTTAGCTCCTGTCTGTTTTACCAGTCTACTATAAATATATACATTGTGTTAACTGTATTTTCTGTGTTCTCAGTGTTCTGATATTTGGGGTCCCTACAGACTGGGAAAGTGTCTGCCTCCATCAGGGCTGTTCACCCCAAGTTGCCCCAGAACAAACAAGCCTTTTCTAATCAACCAGTCCCCAACAACTCTCTTTACCAAACTCTCCCACACCAGTCCAGAGTGTTCCCCCTGCCCAGTCATTCCTGAACTGGATCCCGAGCATCTAATGAACACCTCCAGAGTTCCAAGGCCCACTGGAAATTATTCAGAAGAGAGAAACCAGCCTGTGTTCTTGAGAGGTCTTCTCTTTGACAGGACACCCGTGATTGCCCTCACTCCTGTCTGCCTCCTGACCAGCACTGGTTAGTTTTCTGACCAGTGATTGTAATGTACACTGTTAGGCGCCTCTCTAGGAAGTATAATCTGTTCCTTCTCCCAAGCCTTCCCCCCCATCCTCCTGAGGCTGCACCGACTTCTCATACTATATCCAGCATGCACATTCTTAGAACAAACACCAGTAGTAAAAAGTTCATTCATTTGCAGCATCGGGAATCAACAAAAACTCTTAATTCTGCTCCGATCATGCAGCTCCAGGCTGCTATCTCCTCACTCATCCCTGCTAACAGGGAATGACCTGTGGAGAGAGGCACAGGGAAGGCCTCATCACACAGTGGTACTTCAGCAGCATGGTTTGCTAGCCAGATCTGGCTGCAGCTACACACAAGGATGCAGGCTGTACATGGCTGACCGGCCTGGCTGACAGCCAGTGAAGCTCCATGCAGCCCTGTCCTGAGGCCTCTCTGGTTACAGTTACTCTTTCTCCGTTGAGAAACACAGCTCAAGGATCCTGAGCCACCTGGTTGGGAGTCAGAGAGGAGGCAGCTTGGCATTCAGTTTGGGGAAGATGGGAGGGTACTTCTAAGGACTCACCCAAAGGGGCTTGGTCTGCTTGAAAGAAAGCCAAGAAACTCTTTTTCTGAAGTGGATTAAGAAATAAGCTACTGGGAAAGATAACATCTGAAAATTGATACTGTCTCTTGCGGAGCTGGCCAAATCCCAAGAGAAGAGTGATGCCTCTTCTTCAGCTGTTAACAATTACTACCTTGTTATGGAGACAAGGGAGGTCCAGTGGCCTCGTCTCAGACTGTATTACTGAAGCACACACTGCTCTTGGAAACAAAATGCCTGGCACCCTGGATCCTTAGACGTGTACCCATCATTCCATTTTGTAGCAAGGTTGTATGGCCCTGGGTAACCTCTGTTCAGTTTGGGTGGCAGAAGAATCAGTTCCCTCTTGTAGCCCTGAACTGGGCAGGTAACCAGTGTAAAGTTGCCTTCCCTGTGCCTCTCTCCACAGGTCACTCCCTGTTAGCAGTCCAGCCCCCAGTCACACAGCAGTGAACCCACACATCTTGCTACCAGTCTTAATGGGATGCTTGTTACAGCCACATACCTCTCCCATCCTTGTGTCCTTAGGACGTAATTGTTCCTAAAAGGTCTACAGAAAGAAAATGGCATGTTAAGCCATGCCTGTCTTTGGAAAAAGCAAGCTTTACTCATGGAATATTTACAATTGTGCTTACTTCATCTGCAGAGTTGGAACTGGGTTCCAGGGGGCGTAGGTATTTAACTGCAGGGCTTGGGGAATGATGAAGTAGATTGCCCTGTTGACAGGATTGCTGTTGATGTTTATCCTTTAGTCTTTCAACTTAGGCTGTAAAGAAAAGACCCGGGTTCCCTCCAGTCCTCCGAGTGGAAAGCATCACTAGTTAGACTAAAACAGACTTCTGTTCTCAACTTCTGAGCATGGGTATCCCACTCAGCTGCACAGCTATCAAGGGCTCTCTGCTCTTGACCTAACCCAGGTAATCCAGTTACCTGAAGCCAGAGAGGAGCAGCTTGAATGGGTGAAGTGTCCCTTTAGCTGCATCAGTAAAACATAACCTTTGACCCCAGCACAAGATGGGGCTAGAAGTAGGAAAAGGTTCTCAGGTGATGGGAAAAGTCGGCTGGTTCTGTCACCGCAGTGCTTTGATGGATTAGTCTCTTCGTTAGTAAGAAGAAAGTCTGCTCTTTTGTGTTTCTACACTGAACTATTTGAGAAGGTTTTTATCCCGCCCCTCCACCTAGTTACTTGTGATTTGCCATGGACATTCAAATAGATGACAAGCCCGATGTAGATATTTTGAAATTTGGTAAGTTTTCATATTTTCTTGTAGTAGAACTGGAAACTGTATGGGATGATGAACCATTTCGTAGTTTTCAGTAGATGTCATAATATGAAATTTTCAAAACTGCTGCTCTTAGAAGACTCTCCTCTGGTCTTTTCTATCTGTTTACCCTTCTTTCTGTTGTGCTTGTCTGAAAATACCTACCCCTTCTTTATGCGGAGGATCTGACTTGTCCTGGTAGGCTTCTGGTCATTGAGAAGGGAGACACCACAAGATCTAAGGAGGTAGCTCAGCGGGTAAAACACTTCCTGTGCCAGCATGAGGACCTGAGTTCTAAACCCAGAACCCATGGAAAGCCAGGCACGGTAGTGTACGTCTGCAATGCCAGTGCTTCCACAGCAAGCGGGAGCTGGAAACAGAGCACTTCCAGAAGCTCGGGGAGCTAGCAAGCCTGATATGTGCGTCAGCCCACAACCAAGAGAATCTTTCTCAAGCAAGATGGAATGCTTGTACTCAAACACATGAATACACACACATCCTACAAACACACACCATACACACCCAAAAGGAGAGAAGCCCCCTCTATGGAGTGTACCTCTGTGAAGGGAAGTTGCTGTATATAACATGGAGAAGACATAGTCTTCTTAGGAGCCAGGCTCATGAAAACTGGCCTCCTGACTGAACAGTGAAGCAGGACTCTGTTAGCCTGTTCTCTGACCAGGTCATGTTGCAGCTCTTCAGACACAGACATCTGCTGTTACCAGATCGTCTGCATAAGGAAGGGGCGAATATGTGCACATGTAGACAGCGGTAAGAAGGGTGATATGTGCACATGTAGACAGCGGTAAGAAGGGTGATATGTGCACATGTAGACAGCGGTAAGAAGGGTGATATGTGCACATGTAGACAGCGGTAAGAAGGGTGATATGTGCACATGTAGACAGCGGTAAGAAGGTGAATATGTGCACATGTAGACAGTGGTAAGAAGGTGAATATGTGCACATGTAGACAGCGGTAAGAAGAGTGAATATGTGCACGTGTAGACAGCGGTAAGAAGGTGAATATGTGCACATGTAGACAGCGGTAAGAAGGGTGAATATGTGCACATGTAGACAGCGGTAAGAAGGGTGAATATGTGCACGTGTAGATAGCGGTAAGAAGGGGGTGATATGTGCATGTGTAGACAGCAGTAAGAAGAGTGAATATGTGCACGTGTAGACAGCGGTAAGAAGAGTGAATATGTGCACGTGTAGACAGCGGTAAGAAGGGTGATATGTGCATGTGTAGACAGCGGTAAGAGGTGAATATGTGCACATGTAGACAGCGGTAAGAAGGGTGAATATGTGCATGTGTCGACAGAGGTAAGAAGGTGAATATGTGCACGTGTAGACAGCGGTAAGAAGAGTGAATATGTGCACGTGTAGACAGCGGTAAGAAGAGTGAATATGTGCACGTGTAGACAGCGGTAAGAAGGGTGATATGTGCACATGTAGACAGCGGTAAGAAGAGTGAATATGTGCACATGTAGACAGCAGTAAGAAGGATGAGCACATACTAAGTAAAGGTTGAGGAGAGTCTTATTTCCGAGAACAGCTTTCTGAACATTCTGAGTTGTTATATCTGATTAAAAGCTGTCAATGGTAATACCCAGTACAGTTTGCAGGATAACGGCACTGGGGGACTCATGGCTCCACCTGACACATTTTTGCGTCCATGCTTCAGAGACACGATCGAACCCTTCCCATTCATTCATCAGCAGATGCCCACTGGGGCTGCTCCTCCCAGTCATATGCCAGCCTGTGCTGGTGTAGCGTCCGTACGGGAGTCGAAGCTGCCACATACATGCTGACAGCTTGTTTCTGGTGAGATTATAACTCAGCAGGTACAGCATAAACTCCGCCGCTCGCATGAAGTCTCAAAATACAATGCAAAAGATTAACAAAACAAAGGCATGAAATATGAAGGGAAACTCATATCCAAGAAATGAGAAAACTCAATTTTTAAGAATTTTAATCAGAGGTCAAATAAGCTATAGTTGATGTAAAACTTGGTCCTGAGTGTTGTGTTAGCCAGAACAAAAAGGAAATGTGATATAAATTGGAGTTTTCATTACCTGAAAGGGGGTGCTCAGTAGTAGAGTACTTGCCTATCATACATGATTCCCCAACAGTATAAGAAATAAAAATAAAAAACCTGTGAGGGGTCAAGCTTTTCCTATTTTTTTCCTGTTCTTACTCCACAGTGATTTAGCATGCTTTTTGCAGAATTCATTGAATGAAGTAATAGGACTCTCAGCCAGCTAGCCCAGAAATGTGTTTCATTGGGCAACTTCCTGACACGATGTACGTGCAGGAAAAAAATCTTACGGTGCATGTGAGTAAAGATGGCACCGTGACAGGACAAAGCCAGTAGTGAGTCTTTGCAGTCACATAATCCAGGGGTGGGGTAATGACTGTCTAGAGGACTGCATGGATTGCACGTGTCTTAGACATCCTAAATATAGCTTCTCTTCGGACTAGTTGTGCACTTAGGCGGGGGCTCAGATGCCTGGTCTCTCCTCTTCCTGCCCCCACGTGGTTGGGAACAGGGACAGAAGCACTCTCTCCACCTAATGTGACCTTTGTGTTCTCTGATCCTATAGTCGCATAGTTTCTGCTGTTTTGATACCATGTCCTCCTTTTGCCTCAGTCTCTCTCCCTCTCCCTCCCTCCCCTCTCCCCTCTCCACCATCTCTCTCCCTGTCTGGTTTGTGCCCAGCCCTGTCCTGTTCCCACCCCGATCTGACTCGACTCCAGCAGAACTCTGATTGCCATTTGCACACTCAGACTTGATGGATTATTTGAC